GAAACAATTGTAACGTTCAACGAGGAACAATCACGTCTCTTCAATCACCGTATCGGCGACCTGCGTATGTGATGCACTTAAGGCCACCGGAAGGCCAATTGGATCTTCATGAGATACCCAGACGAACCATAGCAAACCTACTTCGGTTTTTCTTAGAAATGTCACTAGGAAATCGGCGATATTGGTGCTACGAATGCCAAAGACATGTGGCAGGAGTCCCTTCTTCTGGAATAATCGAATGCGGTGAATGTTCAGGTCGTAGAGTTACGAGAGTTGGTGACGCAACTAGATACGATCACGGGCTTGATTACTGGTGCTTTCCATGTCAAGGACCCGTTAGAGTCTCATCATCTCCTTGTGAAATAAAATGCCCTCAATGCTTTCGTCAATTCATGGCGGGCATTGAATTGTGGCGAGTGATCGTCATCCAAGGCTTGTCATGGAAAATGATATGTTGCTCTAACTTCAGACCTCCTGCGAGAGGAGAACTACTACTGGGATTAGGATATCGTTCTGGACCAGGGGCGGCTGGCATACAACAACTCATGGAGCCAATGGGAGATGATGTTCTTAAAGGCCCGCCTCCGGTAGCAGAATTTATAATTGGTAAAAATCTCAAAATCGCATTTGGTAACAAGCCACGAGTGTCCCGTTTGCAAAGACGAGTTTGAGGTCGGGGAGGAAGGAATAAGAGAGTTGCCTTGCGGGCATATTTATCACTCTGATTGCATTGTGCCATGGTTGAGGCTTCACAATTCTTGCCCCGTATGTCGAAAGAATGTGGCGGATAAAGCAAGAAATAGCACCGTGGAAAGTAGTAGTGGTGATCATGAGGAGAGGGACGTTAGAAGGCGGTCAGGGGGGGCTGCATTGTGGTTTTTTAAAATGAGGGATATGGCTACAACATTGAAGACATTCCAAGGAAAGCTATTGCGCCGACTCTTGACTCTCTTTAAAAATCGTGGTTGTTTGGAACACTCTAAGGCTTACTAAGATTGATCCATGCACCGGATGACCCCTTGATCCCATTGTAACTTCATTGATTTCTATATATATTGAGCATAGAAATATTTTAGGCAAAGCCTTTGAAATACAATCATTTATAATATGGAGTTTTATATAAGTAATTAGTGTGGATTACTTCTGTTAGGAAAAATTACCCTCGAACAACAATACTCTCTCAAATGATAGATATTAGAAGAACAAAAATGTGTGCTGAAAAATAAAAAAACAATGCACAATATTTTTTTACGTGGAAACCCCTCAACTAGGGGAAAGACCACGATCCTCTCGGATTATATTTTTTCACTATAATATCAATTGAGTAGAACAATATCACAATACTATATCTCCAATTATAATATTATACTCCCTCCGTCCCAAAAAGTTTGTTACGTTTCGAAAAAACTGCGTCCCGTAAAGTCTGTTACATTTCTATTAAAAAACCACTTTTACCCCTTACTTTTTCATACCCTACCTATCACATCATACCTTTTTCCTAATAATCTACCCATCACATCCTACTTTTACCCATCACATCAAGGGCATTTTTGGAAAGTCAATACTAAAATATTCATCCCTTAATTTTCCAAAAAGTCAAACCGTCCCATTCTTTTTGGAACGGAGGGAGTATCTCCATGAGAATTTTCTCAACACTAAAAAATTCTCACCTTTCTCAGGGGCTACAACAATGTTCCCAAAATCTGATCTCAATGGTACGGTTCTGATCTAATTGGAATAAATTTTAATCTAACCTGGCCTGGTCTGATATAGTCTGATCTGAATATACTTATATTTAAAGTTGTTTCTGATGTGATCTGGTCTGGTCTGATTCCAATAAAAAAAGTACGAAGTAATAAGTAAAAAAGAAAAGGTTAAAAAAACATGATAAATAAAAATATTTTTATGGATATCTAATTTGAGGCCGTAGGGGGCACACATATAATGTGAACTTTGGCTCCTTTTATAAGCATACTGGACCCTCATGCCTAGACCTGGCAAAACAGAACCGGAACCGATTACCTGAACCGAAATATCCGAAACCAAAACCGGAATGACCCAAAAAATAAAGATCCGATCTATAACCGAAAACCCGAAATGATCCGAATCGAACCGAAACCGAACTAAATAATTCATATCCGATTTAAATCCGAAACCGATTAGATCCGAAACCGATAATATCCGAACCGATTAAACCCGAAACCGATTAGATCCGAACCCGATAATACCCAAAACCGATAAAATCCGAAACCGATTAGATTTGAAACCGATAATATCTGAACCCGATTAGAACTAAAATCGATAAATTCAGAACTATGTTTGTCTTTCAATAAGCATATTATATTTTTAAATTTTTACTTTTATTTTACCATTTGAACTAATTACATTACTTGATCATTCCCTCATAAAATTGATTATCTTCTTGAAAAAAAGTACAAAATTTATGCCTTAAATTTGTTATATGTAGAAATTAAGATAAGTTATACATATAAATGATAACGCACAAACAAATAAAATTTTCGTAATTTTTAGATAGTGAAGTATGATATTCTTTTTGGGACGAAAGGAATATATGATGAATTGTATGGAATAACTAGATTTTATCCTAATTTCATCTCATTACAATAAATTTTATTGATTTGAGAGTTAATTTGATTAGTTTCAAACCAATTCACTCAATATTAGTCAATAAAATTAGATGCTAGTGTTAGCATTTTGAAAAGACTCTCTAGCGGCGCAGTCTTTGCTGTTATCATTTTCAAATTTGATCTACACCATTGCATTTAGGTGTAAAATTAATTATATTTGACTCTATTAAATTTAATTTTCTCTATTTTCAACCAAATATACTCAATAATTTACAAATTTTGCACTCAATTGAATAAAATTCACTTAATTTCACTCCATTTTACTCAATTTTTACCACATTGTATTCAAATGGAACATAAGACTATTTGAATTTATCTTTTATCCTTTCCTTTATGTACATAAGTATATTACGGAGTAGTAGATGTGAGAAAAATTTGATATTTCAAAACTAAATTTTAAAATCAATTTAATTATATTAAATTTATATCATAATTAAATATATATGTTTTCATAATTTATAGTCCAAATTTGTAAAATATGACTAAAAAGTCAAAAAGGGAAGATTATTTAGGGTAGAGATAATATAACTAGAAAAAAATATAAAATAATATGAGGTANTGAATTTATCTTTTATCCTTTCCTTTATGTACATAAGTATATTACGGAGTAGTAGATGTGAGAAAAATTTGATATTTCAAAACTAAATTTTAAAATCAATTTAATTATATTAAATTTATATCATAATTAAATATATATGTTTTCATAATTTATAGTCCAAATTTGTAAAATATGACTAAAAAGTCAAAAAGGGAAGATTATTTAGGGTAGAGATAATATAACTAGAAAAACATATAAAATAGTATGAGGTATTGAATTGATGATAGATTGATAAATGTGATAAAACATAAAAAGAAACACAAATAGTTAAATTTTAATTAGAAAATAATATATATCCAAACCAAAATTTAAATTTTGGTTTGGACCAGTTTAAATTTTGATAAATTTTGGTTTGGACCAGTCTGTTCCAATCCGGTTCGGACCAGTCTGTTCCAATCCGGTTCAGCAGCTACCAGCGCACGTCAATTTCATGCTTCTCCAACAACGTGAGAACCCACCGGCGCACGTCAGACTTCTCTCTTCTCAAAGTTTCCAGTTCCCAACTACTGTCCAAGCTTCCTCTTGCTTCAGCCAGAGTTCAGCTTGAGGGGGGATGTTAGACAATAATACTAATATTACTTCTGGTAGTATTGGTTATGGTAGTGTTTCATTATTAGTCAGCTTCCTAATCCTATTTGTAGTAGATGTTGTATTTAATTAGTCTCTATTCTCTATTCCTAGTTGTGTTAGGAATCTCTTTTATATATACTCTATCATGTATTTCATAATTCAAGAAGTAATATTATTATTCCAATATTTCGACACAATTTTAGACAAATTGCAAATTCTTTAGATGGTAATTTGTTTGATGAAAGCCACTGCCCACTTCCTAGTTCTCTTCGCTGCTTTTTTTTCAATTATGTTCTCTGCTTTTTTCTCAGTTCTGTTCGTTGGTTTTTTTCTTCCAATTATATTTGATGCTTCTTTTTTAAATTAATAATACTCACTAAAACTAAGATTTGACGATAATATTAGGTCCTTTATATTGAGTGTGATATAAGGCCCTGTTTGGTACACGGAATTCAAAGTATGGAATTGCAATTGAAGACTTCAATTTCAATTATGATGTTTGGTAGCACAAAAACTATGTGGATTTGAAATTGACAGTGCAAAAAATGAATTAGAATCCGTTTGGTATACGGAATTGACGGAATTGGAATTGAATTGGAAGTCCACATTTTTTTAGTGCTACATAATTTTAGTGCTACCAAACACTAGAATTGGAATTGAAGTCCTCAATTCCAATTTCATAGTTTGAATTCCACGTATCAAACGGATCCTGAATTTTATTCTATGGAATTGAATTGCATGAAATTTCAATTCCAATTTCATCAATTCCATATACCAAACGGACCCTAAGTAACTATTAGTGTGGATTTATACATAGTGTTTTCTTTTAGGAAAAATTACCTTCCAACAACAACACTCTCTCAAATACCAATAAGTGAAATTTGCACTAAATAGGTCTAAAACATAATGACTTTCCTAATGTAGGATTTAAACTTTTTTATTCCCTAAATAGGACTTAATAATGACCTAGTGGAAAGAATAATGTCCTGTAATCATGAACATTTAGTTGAATAATGACTACTTGATAATGATCAAAGGTCCTAGATTGGGAAATAAAAACATATTGTCCTATATTGGGAAAGTCATTATGTTTTAGTCCTATTTAGCTAAATTTCACTACTAATAAATATGAGAAGAACAAAAATGTGCTCACGAAAAAACAATCAACGCACACAATATTTTTTTACGTTGAAATCCCTCTCAACTAGTTGAAAACCCATGAACTTCTCAAACTAAATTTTTCTACTACTCCCTCCGTCCCTAAATAAACTTCATCTTTCGTTTTTTCTTTGTTCCCAAATAAACTTCTCTTTTCCCTTAAAAAACCCCTTTTACCCCTTACTTATTCATACCATACCTATCACATTATACCTTTTTACTAATAATCTACATATCACATCTTACGTTTACACACCACATCAAGGATATTTTTGGAAAGTCAACACAAAAATATCTCTCCCTTAAATCTCCAAAAAGTCAAAAACGGAAGTTTATTTAGGGACGGAGGGAGTATAATATTGATTGAGTACAATAGTATCACAATACTATAACAATTGTTATTTTCTCTCTATGTGAATTTTCTCAGCACTAGAGAATTCATACCTCTCTTGGGGGCTACACATCTCCCCGGCCCTCTTGGCACTCCTCTTTCATGTTAAATTTTTGTTATTACTAAATATTTCAATAATTTGTTGTCAAAATTTGTAAATTTTTGAAAAAAAGTAAAGGGTAAAGAATTTTTCAAGACGGAGGAAATATAAAATTCACGCCTCATTGTACCGATATTAAATTGACTAAATATTGACAAATTGGAATAGTTTTGATTATCAATGGAAGAAAGACTAAAGTAGGAATAAAACATTGAAAGTATTTCAAAATAGGAATTTCATGTTTTTATTTCTGAAATAGGACTTAAAATGCATTTAGATTACCAAACATGGTCATGTACATTATCAAAAAGTATAGTAATGTGTACATGTATAGTGCCACATTACAACCATATTACCACAGTGTGAAATCCTATTTCGAGGAAAAAACATGAAAGTCCTATTTCGGTATTATTTGTGCTTTGGGTGTGATGAAGTTGTTTCACATTCTGTTGAGCTCAACAAATGTGCTAAATGTTTCAGTCCAACCCTATTTCGGAAAAAAAAACATGAAAATCATATTCCGGTACTTTTCTCTATGTTTTAGTCCTATTTAGGATGAATTTTAGTTATGAATTAAATATGGAGTAATAGGGAGTACAAATTCTATTGTGTATTAATGTAAAAGTGAGATTTACTAAAAAGCTTGGTGATCAAACAAAGCATACTTGTGAGTGATTAGAAAAAGAAACGGGAATATGCTTTGTTGAAATCTCGAGTTTCTTAATTTGCAATTAATTATTATAAATAAGATTATGTATAAGTGTATGCTTATATATATGTATATATATATATATATATATATATATATATATATATATATATATATATATATATATATATATATATGCTCATTATTTCTTCATTTTCTCAACCTAGTTCAATTAACCTAACATGCACGTACATGGAAGAATTGAAATTCTTTAATCCCTAGCTTCCACCTGATATATCGTGAATCCAGTTATATATAGTTTATAATAATATAAGAATGGATAATAATGAGCAGCAATTGCAATTCCATTATTATTATTATTCGTGCTTCGGGTGTGATGAAGTAGTTTCACATTCTATTGAGCTCAACAAATGCCCTCAATGTTCCAGTCCGATCCTATATGAGATTCAAGGAATTACAATCCATCTCCTTCGGGAGGCTAACAACGACGACAACCGACACGAACCCCCTCCGACTTACCGGTGGCGATCAAGAGGAACGACATTGCTTGAACTGCCGATTCAAGAACCTGCATATGTTGTTCACTTAAGGCCACCCGAAGGCGAAGCTGGTTGTCCAATAACCCCGACAACCTTACGAAACCTACTCAGGTTCGTCTACGAAAAAATTGCACTAAGAAATCGCCCGTATTGGTGCTACCAATGTCGTTCACCCGTGGCACCGCTCTCTTCTTCTTCTTCGTCTTCTTCTGGAATGGTATGTTGTCACTGTTTAGGTGATAGAGTTGTGGATTTCAATGATGCAACAAGATACAATCACCGGTTCAATTACTGGTGCTTTCCATGTGGTGGAGGGGTTAGAGTCTCGTCTCCTGGTGAAATGATATGTCCACAATGTTCCCGTCAATTCATGGCGTCCATTCATTCATGGAGACTGTTCGTCTTCCAAGGCGTATCATGGCGGTTCGCAAGTGTTTCACATTTCAGACGACCTTCGGACGGGGAACTAGTAATGGGAAGAGGGTATCTTTCTGGCCCGGGGGCAGCGGGCATGCAACAACTCGTGGAGCAAATGCTCGATGATAATCCTACAGGCCCGCCACCCGCGCCAGAATTTATTATCGACGCAATACCCAAGATACAAATCTCGGAGTCCCATTTGATAAACGATAAAGCGTGCTCGGTTTGCTTGGAAGAGTTTGAGGTTGGGGAGGAAGCAAGAGAGTTGCCTTGCAAGCATATTTATCACTCCGAATGCATCGTGCCATGGTTGAGGCTTCACAATTCTTGCCCCGTCTGTCGAAACGACGTGGACGAAAACATAGCCGAGAATGAAACTGCAGAAACTACTCAGAGTAGCGATCGTAACGATGTGGCAACGAATAACATCCATAATATCAATGACGATGATGATGATGACGACGAGCGTGGAGATGAGATAAAGCGGGATTTGCCCGAGCCCGAGCCCGAGCCCGAGCAGGGCGGACAGGACCATGGAGAAAATAATGAGGGTGAGCATGAGGAGGAGAGGAGTGTTGTTAGAAGGCGGTCGAGGTTAAGGCCGGCAACTGCAATATGCCCTTTTAGAATGAGGGATGTGGCTATAGCATTATTGAAGACATTTGGAGGAACACTATTGAGGCAGCTGTTAATTGCTTTAAAAGTTGTGGTCTTTTGGAGCACTCTAGGGTATATCAATATCAAGATTGATCCACCTCCTGACCCTTGATCATATTTTAACTTCATTTACTCCTGATATATATATATATTCCCTCCGTCCCGATCGAATTAATCGCCCCTGTTTCACTCTAAGAAAAAATGTTGAAAAATAAAGAAAATATTGCATTGAAATACAGTCTTAATACTCCTTGTGTCTCAAAAAGATCTTTATATTTGACTTTTTAATTTACGGCTATCAATGCGACATATTGATTATTAATCATCATATTTGTTTATAAATAAAAATTACAAAAATCTGGTATTTCAAAGTTACTTTTTAAAATAAACACAACTACTCCCTCCGTCCTAAAATTTTCTTCCCGTTGCGCAAAACGAAGAAAAATTCCAAGTTTTTCAATCTATTTTATTTAAATATTGGTATAGAAATAAAAAATAAAACATACATATTTAGAAACTACATCAAAAGTTCAACAAAACAAGTGGTGACAAGAATATTTTATTTTATCATATATGCCATGAAAAAACACAAATAAATATAAATTTCTGTGAAGTTAGAATAGTGCTTTGGGAAGAAAGTTTTAGGACGGAAGGAGTACAATACTAAAAGTATTCTCTCTGTTCTAAAATTAATTTCACATTTGACTTTTCATAGTTTCCAATGCGACGCTTTGCTCATCAATATCTTCATTTTTGTATAAATATATTTTATAAAAATAATATATTTCAAAACTATGTTTCAAAATGAATCTATTAATAATAATTTTATATGAAAATTCAATGTATTTTTTCTATAATATATAATCAAAGTTTAAAAAATTTGACTGTGTAAAAATTAAAGTGAAAATTTAATTTTAGGAGGGAGGAAGTATATCATAACTACATATACAATTTTACAATCGTTATTAAAGTTTATATAACTTGACAAGAAAGTAAAATTTACAGATCTTTTTTAAAGTTCGAGGTAATATTATTTAAATTATTAATGTGGAGTTAGTTGTAAAGGTGGACACCAATCTACTTAACTAGATATCTCACATGGTGATGCCTTAATAAATGTTTGAGGCAGATTTGTCATTGTTGACACTTTTATTTTCATTTAAAAATTATTAAATTCATGCTCATTATATATCTATTGCTAGAGCTGGCAAAACTGACTCGGAACTAATTACTTGAATCGAATGATCCGAAATTGTAATCCAAATAAACCTAAATGATCTAAAAAATAAAGATCGTATTTATATATGAATAACTGAAATGATCCGAACTGAACCGAAACCGAACTAAATATATCTATGCCCAATTTAAAACCAAAATCGATTAAATCCGACTGATTAGATCCGAAACTGAATAGATTCGACACCGGTTAAATCTAAACCGATATGACCCAAAACCGGTAAGATTCGAAACCGATAAAACCCAAAATTGATTTTTCCTGACAATAAATATATTATATTTTTGTATATTAGTGAACAATTACATTTGATTTCACTTTTTTTATTTTACCATTTGAACTAGTTATATACTTATATTACTTCTTATATCCAAAATGAATTACCATATCGAAACAAAATGTGAAATTTTATATTTTTAATTTTTTATACATTAGTATAAAAATAAACATTACAACTTACATAAAAAAATGTTAGTTAAAATTCATACAAACTAAAGTATGATTAAAAATATTTTTTCACCCCTATATTGTATAGTTGGCCAAGCATGCAATGTGCTTTGAATTGCATTTAATTTCATTTATATTTTATCTAATTTCATTCAATTTCACTCAATTTTAACATATTTTAACCCCTATATTTCACTCATATTTCGCTCTTGATACTTTCGAGTTTTATCCGATTGAATTTTGGAGTGAACAACCAAAATATTCAATCTGAAAGTGTTTACACAACTCTCGATTCATCTAAGTTATCATTAATTTCCCCAACATAATATAACTCACTACAATTTTTTTGTATTGTACTCTCTCCATTCTAAAAAAGAATTCCTATTTTGATCAAGTGTAAAAATAAGGAAGTGTTTGTTAGAAATATCGATTAAATATTCAAAAAGGAAGAAGAAAATAAGGACATGAAAAGATGGAAAACAAAGAGAAGATAACAAAGGAAAAATGGGATGGATGCATTAAATGTGGGAGGATGCATTGAATGCTAGGTGTCGGCCATTTCTTAATTGTCTTTAATTCCTTTGTTCATATGCTCCTTTGTTGGCTATTTAACTAGCCATGCGAAGAGTTCTCTGTGTGTGTGATTTTCAACACACCAAGGCAGAGAGGGAAACAAAGAAGAGGATTCTACACAAGAATATCACCGGGAAAATCCAAGGGGTCTTGTTGAGTGTGGGTGAGTGTAGAGAGTAGATGATATCTAGTTACTCGGAAAAATACGTCCGGGCATAGGATGTGGAAAGGTCTGTTTATGAGTGTCTGGAATTTAGCTTTGTAAACAGAGGAGAGTTTTTTGTATATTGTCCTGAAATAGTAGAAATATAATTTTTTCTCTCATATATTCTTCTTGTGTTTGTTCTCTCATTTTTCTGGTGTTCTCAATATTTTTCCAGTATCTTACGCGCATAAAATCTCAACAGTGTTAAATTATACGGAGTAGTTTACTTCTAATTTTGCCCTTGATGTGATGGGTAGAAATAAGATGTGATGTATAGATTGTTGGAAAAAAAGTATGATGTGATAGGTAGGGTATGAAAAAGTAAGAGTAAAAATGGTTTTTTAATAGAAAGTAAAAGTGTTTTGTTGGAAGTAAAAAAATGAAAGAGGAAATGTTTTTGAGAACGGAGGGAGTAATTTCTTTCTCGAGCGATGTTCAAAATTATATTATTTTTTGATAATCTAATATGATAAAATACCGGAACATAAAATAAAATATGTAAAACGTTATAATTTTTTTTTAAATGAGACAAAACTCTAACAAGAGTATATTGTTATATTTTAAAAAACATAAATTTTTAAATTAAAAAAATGAAAAAGTAAATTTACCTTAAATAATCCAACCTTTCTTTTATTTGCAAAAAACAACTATTTTCTAAAAAATTCTGTTAACTGACTGTTAGTTTTTAACGGTGACCCAAAACTCACACATGTGAAAAGGTAGGATTTTTTTCTGTGACAATCAAAAATGAAATTATTTTTGAAAAAATATAAAAAGGTGAAATTATTTAAGATAACGTTTTCTTATATTTATAATATAGTAGTATAATGATCGATTCCTGTGAGAATGAACTTCTTGAAAAAAAATAAGAATGAATAGAATCCACTAGATCTCATGAAACGCACGACTTCGATGCATCCGTGAAGTTGAGTTCTATTTTGGTAAGTAATATAGTTAGGGTCTATGTAAAATTGGAGAGATTGTATAATAATAGGGACAAATTAGGAATAATAAAGCACTTCAATCAGTCAGTCAACACAACTAACTCAATCAGCCATTCAAACCAACTAACACAAATAGCCAACAGCCAAATCTAAGTGCTAATTCCCAAACCAGGCCATTATCCCCGCATGTGAGAGTGGACTTTCTAAATACGGAGTTTAATACTCCATAGTTAAGAAATGCACTAATTGCTCTAATTGGCTCCAAATTCTGCCTCATATATTAAAAATATATTTTGATCAATTAATTTATTTGTAAATTTATTTTGTTAAATACTTTTTTCCTGATTATGTCATAGTGCAAAAATATGATGGCATAATCCATGAAGAAATCACCCTATGTAGCACTCTAAGTTATTCAATATTACGCATATAACATTCTTTAATCTTTTATATGAATTCAGCTATTTATAGTGTCAATATCTTTCAAGCATATCTTCTACCTTTTATTATACTCTACTATTTTTAATTATTTTTAATTATTTAATTAAACTTAGATTATTCACGTAGCTACTTCTCATTCATGCATCTCATACGTACGAGAACATCATCCTACGAATCCCTACGATGTTTACCATAGCTCTACGAGATCCTCCTCCTACGTAGTTTACCAATGTATAATACCTAAATAAGTTCGTGCGTATTAAATTAAGTTTCATATTTATCGCTAATGGTTGGCCAGTGTATTTTGGTGTAATAGATGATTCATGAGATCAGCCATACATTTTGGGTAATGTGGAATTCATACATGAAAATAATCATACATATTTTTGGCAATGTGGAATTTATACATGAAAATAATGCGGAATTCATACATAACGAAAGAGCTATGCAGTTTTTGGGAAGTGTGGAATTCATACATAAAAACAGTCATACACTTTTTGAAAGTGTAGAATTTATAATGAAAGCACTACCACATAAATCAATAGATATTACACTCCAACATGGAATTAAGGAACACAATAACTTACACACTGCCGTAAGATATAACAACATATATCCATTCTACACTACAACACTAAATACTCACATATAAAAAACCACACTGCCCATTACACAGTTACAAGTGAACAACCACACTGCCCAAAACAATCAATTTTTTGGCAATGTGTAATGAATATTTGTTGTTTAATTAAATGACAAAATTTGAATCGCATGTATAAAACATATAACACTGCTATTTAAAGTATTTTAAAGCTCTGAGAGTGCTATTTTGGTTTTTCTACTTAATGCATGTATGTTTGTAAAGAGATCATCTATGTAGTCAATGATTACATCATACATTATACTCCCTCTGTTTTTTAAAAGTGTTCCTATTTTGACTTTGTGTAAAAATAAAGAAGTATTAAATTGTAGTTGACTTCCAATTTTACCCTTGATGTGATGGTAAAAGTAAGATGTGATGGATTGAGTATTAGAGAAAAAGTATGATGTGATAGGTAGGGTATGAAAAAGTAAGGGTAAAAGTGGTTTTTTAATAGAAAGTGGAAGTGTTTGTTGGAAATAAAAAAATGAAAGGGAAAGAGTTTTTAAGAACGGAGGGAGTATTCATGTTTTTTATTTTCAAATTTGCTGTCAATTACTCATGAGATGAGATATGATGAAGTATGTGTTTTTAATTTATTTAATTTTTTCGCTGATTAAATAAAAAATTGTGGTGATATCTTAGTTTTATTACTATGTTGATGTAGTGTGTATTATAAAGAATGCTAAATTTACCTCTAAAATTTGTAGGCAGAATGTGACAGCAAGTAATGCACTATGAGTGTATGACAGTCTATGTATACATTGTAATTTGTCATTTATATTTTATTTAAACCTTAATATATTAATTTGTATATTAGTGAATTTTGACTCATGAGTGACTTTGTATGTGAAAAAGAAGCTTTAAAATGCATTG